TAAATAATTTTAAGACTATTGCTCTTGCAGCCATTAAATCTTTTGTATAATGTATATTCAGACGTCCTAACTTATCTCGACGAGATTATACTTAATCTACTTTATTTTATCTTTTACTAACTTATAATTTTTACTGTATATATACATATAGTAATTATTTATTACGTGCTTTTATTATGTTATTTTCAACTCCTAGTATAGTTCCACTGTTTCAGCAGTATACTTATTAAAGATTAAAGATTAAAGATTAAAGTCAGAATTACATAGACATCTGACTGCACGAACTCTAAGTTTATATTCTATGATATCTGTTTACTAGTTATTGTCAACGTCGGGGTAAGTTTCTCATCTAAAATTGGAAAACTCAGTGAATTTAAGTGTCATACACTTTTTCCAAGCATACCCTTCAAACAAAGGAAACAAATTCAAATAAACAGCTCCAGTTAATGGCAGAGTGGAAGCCTAGAAACTGTCCCCGGATTACGAGACTGGGGGAGGCAAGCGCGCTAAGCAACTCAGGTCTCGTCCACACTACATCGGAGGAATTTTAAAACGTAGCAATCACCAGTCATTTTGGATTTGTGTTTGAGGAAAACTTGGTCAGGGAAGTTACATGATTATGGTGACGCCATTATTTTCTAAAACTTCCGTTTTCAAAATGTTTTCCGTCCACACTAAAACTCAAAGCCGGCGTTTTCAAATTCCTCCGTTTTGAAAAACGTTTTCGAAAAGCTCCGTTTTCGTGACGGATTAGTGTGGACGGTAGGCCTAACCGTAGAAATGAAGCTGCGTTTTCAAATTTCTCTGGCGTAGTGTGACCTCTGCCTCGACTCCCTGTATTCTCATTCTCATAGCTGACGTTGAAAGAAAATTAAAGCATTCGGTAGGGAGAATTACTATTTCGTTCATGTTCCTCTTCAGCATGTCATTGGATGGTCCGTTAGGTGCATACGTGAATCCTCATGGCTGGGTTCACGAGGCACTCACTTTTTATCGAGCCACTGGCATCAAACTGAGAGGCAAACCCACAGCAGAGAACAGCTGGTTCCCTGGGTAAGTAAATACATGTAGTACCAAGAGATTATCAAGGTACTTACCTTGATAATCTCTTGGTAATACGCAATCATCTGGCCTAGCTTCGACGTCTTCTCTAGTCTTAGCCAATACTTCTCAATGCGACGTTTAAAATCGAAGTTTGATTTTCCCTTGTTAATACTTGATTGTCTTAAATACCTTGTTTCTCAGAAACAAGGTTTACTGAACCTTTACTGAACCTTTAAAACGAATGCATTCTCTGGTTGCAACAGCCAATATATTGTAAGTTCTCGAATGGCTCGCTAAGGTTTCGGGATGGAGGGGGAAATTAAAACGGTCCTGCAGGTTAGCGATTTGATAAAACTGGGTTTGTGATGTCAAATTTTTAGCGACTCTACTGAAACAGTTATATGCCCCTGCTTTGTGTGTCACGGGTCGGATTAAGTTGTCTTCTTAAGGACAAGGATAGCTCTCAAGTTTTTTGTGATCTTTGCCCTCTTGCTGCCGTCGACGAGCGGAACATGCACCAGACAAAGAACCTTCGCTGTTCAGTGCGATTATCTCGTGAGAGAGTTCGCTAAGGTTACCTCATGATTCAAAGTGATAAGATGACTCTGTACGGGGGGTGGGGGGGGGGGGAAACAACTCCCATATAAAAAGGACGGGGGTACTCATCGTACCTTTTAGGGGTTTAAAAAGCGTTTTTGTTACCGCTTAGGGTGTCCAGCCTCAAAAGGTTCACAGCGGCAACTTTTGCGCTCCCTATAAGGGTGTTGAGCCCAAAAAAAACAATATGAGATAATGTGTTTTTTTTAGAGTTAGTACCTCTTAGGGGTGAAAAACATTTCGAGCCACGCCCACAAAACAGGATCTTGGTACCTTTTAGGGTTCTTTTCAAAATTTCCGACGAGCACCCCCGTCCTTTTTAAATGGGAGTTCCTCCCCGGTGGACTCTGTTGGACTGTTCAGCCAATCTCGTCCCCAGACGCCGCGATCCTTTTCGTTAGCACCAAGAAGCGCGCGGGTTCGGGGGACGAAATTTAGAGCCGTTACGCATGTCAGTTTCTATTATCATCCCCTCAGCTGCCTACTATGAGGTATATGTCAAGCAAAAAATAGAGTCCCGTTCTAAATTTGTTCCATTTTGATAAGGTACGCTTGGACGATAGCAGAATGTGCGCAGTGTTCTGACCACCTTGGATGGCGTTTTACTGCCGTTAAGAGAGGTCTTTCTCCAAGTAAGTTTTGGGGGCTGACGCGGGCTGCGCTCAGACCCACCTTGCGCTACGATGAAGAGGATAATACTGTGGAGACACACACAAGGACGTCATCTACTTCGTCTACTTCTTCTGCTCCATCATCACCGTAATGCGCGCCCAGTGATATGGAAAGTGGTCTACGGCGGATTAACACTGCCTGGAACACTGCGGGAACATGCAACTAAGAGGGCAAAGTCATTCTGCCCTTGGATGGAAGTAATGAATATGTCAACTTCGTTGCCACAATTTCCTGCTTGAACTGCAATCTCAGCACGACTCCTTTAGCAGAGTTTGTTGACAACGTCATGTACAGTTTCACGATAGTCTTTGTGGACAGAGATATCAATAAAATCGGATGGCAAAAGATGTACAGAGGGCAAGTGAAAATAGTCTGTTCACAGACGTTCTATTTCGTCTTGAGTTCGTCGAGATCGCAAGCAAAAGTATCAATCGCAGGGGATTTGAAAAAGCTCGAGCGCAAGGGATGACCCTGGGGAAGGACAAAAACAAATAACTCGCGGCAAAACATAACGTCTGTGGACAGACTAAAGTTAAGAGCAATTGCGAATTAAAGTTGGCATGGTATCACCGCTGGAAGACACAATATTTGTCGACTCCTGGACAGATTAGGCTCGTGTTAATGAATAATGTAAAATATCAGAGGTAACTACCATCATGAGAGAAGAACAGATCAGTTTAGTGAAAGGTCACAAAGAAAACTGAGTAATTGTATGTTTTGCGTTTCCTATTACTTTCTCCGCTATCTTCTTGACTGGATCCCTGGCTTCATTGGATTATGGTGACGTATTAGCAGATATACAAGGATTTCAGGGTTCTTCGTTACACTTGTGAATGGTGTAAAACATGTAAGGTAACCCGCGACGCATGTACAGCGGTTTCATTGCATCGTAGACTACTGGCAGTCTGTTTTTCTCTCGAAATGAAGCGGGGATTCTGAGGCGAGACATTTCATACTAGAGGAGATTGGGACGAGAAGAAGGTGCGGCACTCGCGAGAAGAAAAACAACCAACCCCTTNATAAGCCCTGTGAAGACAAGAATAATCCTCCGCGCAAAATTTAAACTGTGGTAACCTCTGATCATACTGTAAAATTCCAAAAGTAACAACTCTCATTACTTTTAGAATTGTCAGCCTTAAGGGCTCGCCATTCTTGGGAAGTTGTTACTTTAGGGGAGCGGAAAATATTATTAAATATAGAGTTGGTGCAACTGAGTTCTTTCTACAAAATGAAAGATGGAAATTCATAGAAACAGTTTTTAAAGATAAGATGAAATTCTTTGTTACAGTTTAAATCTATGTCGCCATCACATGGGCGGGTTGTCATGTCTAGACCATTTTGTAGGTAGTCTGCAAGAAAGCTTGTCAGATATTGTTAACTGTCTCTACTTCATGACACATTACTATGTTAGTCAACAATATCTCACTTCACTAATCAAGTTTTCAGTTTTAATTTGAAGGAAAGTTCCTGTTAGTACAATCCTGTTGTGTGATGAAAATTCTATCATATGGATTTTGTTTTAACACAGCTCAAAATAGATAAAGCAATTTGATAGTTTGGGATATGCACCTTAAATGTGGGATATACACCAAAATGTCTGATAATTAACACTTGCTACCCTTAGAATTATCTTATCATTGGAAATTTACAATATTATATTATTACGATGAGTTTTAGAATACCGCAGTTTTATCATGGCTACTGATGGTAGCTCCAATCTCATTAGTGTGACATATACATGTACAGGGCTGTCAATAAGAGCTGTAACCCATGCATGACACCTACTATGGCTGAGTATGCATGATGGGCTTTTGATGGTATGGATGTACTGCCCCGTTGTTGATACAATTCACCCATAAAGTAACAAGTTTGTGATAACTGTGAAGATCAAGGGTACAGGTGGAT